TCGCTGTAGTGTAATAATATCACAGCACTGTTGCAGTAATTTTAATGTGTTTATTGTACAGAGACTGATTCAGCTGTGATCTACTCAGCAGTGAGAACTGAAGACGTCCGTTATGGACAAACAACCATCAGAACAAGGAGGCCCAGGTACAGCTGCTCTTTATCTTTGACTGTGGACAGAGATGAGCTCGCTGCTCACCCTGTTTACAGCCATCATGCTAAGCTAAGATAATCTGCCATGAGAGTAGGAGAAAAAATGACAAGCTTTACTTTATCTTGAAAGAGGAGTAACAGTATACACAGAATCTGTGAAGAGCAAGGTTCAGTTTCATCTCAACAGGTGCATTTTAGAGACAACAATGAGACAAACCCTCAAAACAGGAATGATTTTACAGCTGGAGGTTAGTGACATGTTTCCCTTCTCATGTTTCACTAGTTTTGCATTTGGCTTTCTGATTCTGATACTACAATTGGCAGGTCCACCTCTGCCACCCGGCTTGAGAGCAGGTTCAGTCTGACCACAGGTCTAACGAGACGTGGAGAACTTTATGCTGCCTTTAAAATAATTCAGTATGACTAGTTTAGTGATGGGTCAGTAATGGTAACTGACCCATAACCATGGAGGGAAGCACAGACCTCTACAGGCTTGGCAACAACAGGATTCAGAATGAAATCCTCGACCTGTTAACAGACCGTACTCTGGTGCAGTGGTTCCTCCTGATGCACGACAATGCCAGGCCTCATGTGGCAACACTAAATCTAAGAGAATGAAGGAACTGATACCACTGACTGGCCCACATTGCTCACCTGACCTAAACCCAACAGACCACCTCTGGATGTTATATTTATAGAATCGTTTATAGAAAATTCAATCGATTTTCTAATTAAAGCACCAGTGCAGGCAAAGCTCTCTGAACTCTGAACCACACCTCATGAGATTTCAACATACAGTTAAAGTGTGAGCAGTATGGAAGCTCTGATTTGTATCTGAGCTGGTTCCCAGTAAAGTCTGAACTGGGACTGTGTGTGATGCAGAGAGGTGGAGATTGGAGGTCTGGATTGAACTACAAAGCTTGTAATCCTGTTTCCTGTTGTTTGAACTGTGTGTGTTTGTGTTCAGACTTTAAACCAGAGCCAGACGTCGTCTACTCTTCACTGAAGTAGTCCACCAGTCCAACCACTGAAGTCCAGCTGCTGGTCTCTAACTGGTCCCTCCAACACCTCGTCTTTTGTTCCTACAGCCGTTTCTCTGCAGGATTAATAAACTTTTGCTCTCAGATGTTTTCCTCCTGTGGTTCTGTGGGTTTCACAAAGACGACTGATGGAGAATTTGAGTTCTGGTTTGGTTGTGGTGAACTGTCAGACATGTGCCTTCATAGCAGAAACAAACATTAAACCACAACCACAGACTATAAACAGCACAAGCATCATTCAGTGTGTGTGTGTGTGTGTGTGTGTATGAGACAGAGAGATGCCACAGGCAAATACTAATATTAATTTTGTTTGCAAACAAACAAGAATCTTCAGGGTGTACGTCAGATGTCTTAAACGAGGAAAACTTTAATGCTTTACATTAAGGAGGAGGAGAAATTGATGTTTTCTGAAAAATATGAAGTGAAATATTTCTCTTGTCAGCGATGAAGTAGGTGGTGGTCGGCCCTTAGTCCACGGCTGGGCGCAACCTGAAAAAGTTACATGAGCCCTCCACCCACAGTAGGTGCCGTAGGGGTTGGG